TAAAGAAACTTCATTCTAATGCTCATTATATTAGTGTTAGCCGCGCTTATGCTAACGATTAACTACTCTAATAACAGCGATGTTCATTTCAATCCAACATTCAAATTAAAATATTGAATAATATTGATAACAGAAGCGGTGTTTCCCACAGACTTGCACTCTATTTGTGGCAGCATATATATGCAAATTAATTCTTTGCCAGCAGGAGGCGCTTGTAGAGCGGGAGAGATAGAGGTTTCCCCAGTAATGGCTGTAATAAAATAAATGCTGCGCTCACAAACGCTGCTCAGGCATTACAGGCAAGATGAAATGAAAATGACATCCATCATTTTCTGAAGACAGTCGGTTTCCTTCAGAAATACAAAAAAACACCCGCACCGGGTTTCGACTTTGACACGTGCAGTGCTCATGTTTATTCAACGAAGTCAAAGCCTTTTGGAAAATCTATTTGTGGTGGTGAGTTTTGATATTGTGGCGGGCAGCCACAAATAAATCAATGTATGGGATGAAATGAAACTTACCTGCTTGAACTCTTTCATTTGATCCGGGTGTCTGTCTTTAACTAACAAAGTGTTTTGTTAGTTTGATGTGTTTCCTCATTTTGAGGTTGCCATGTCTCTTTTGAAGAGAGCGCATCTGCGCACTTTTCGGATAGCGCATCAAGAACCGGGTTGACTGGGTACTCGGTTCCACCGGTACTTAAAAAAACCTGGTACCGTAACGTTTTAAATTTTTTAATACTGACTTGGTAAATGAAAGAGAACTGTTTAATTTAACCATTGCCAAATTTACACTGAAAAGGTGGCACAGAAGTGCTTCTAAACTGGCATGTAGGTGTCTTTTAACAGACTGTTTAATACTGCTCCGAGGTGGCTAAAATGCATTTTGCTATTGCAACTGTATACTTTAATACTAGGGGCTGACCAAGGTAACGTATTTAGGTTATAAAAACATTGTGGGAATATTGTTTTGAAATGTTTCTAAAACGTTGAATTGTCCAGGTTTCTTACAACATTCTACTAACTTTATTTTTAACCAAAATATAATGTTATTTAAAGTTATTTTTAATAAGAACTTTAAAATGTCCAGTTTTCTTGTCGTGATTTAAATGTTATTTAAAGGTGTTAAAACGTTTCTTTGACCATTCAAGTAAGGGATCATGTACATCCAGCCGGTTGTTATCGCAGAATAACCCCCGACAGGGTGATAAGGACCCCGACGCGATGCGGCAACTTGCCTCGTAAGTAAATAATTAGACACGAAATGTTGATTTGAGTTGAAATATTTGAACGCAAAGCTTCCGTGAAAACAGCAGTTGCAAGCAAGCGGCAAGTTCAAACTAGACGGACATTTAAGGGATACAGTGCAGTCAAACCACTTATTAAACAACATTTAACCACATAAATAATTATGGCGATAAAAGATTAAAAATCTTACCAGTTTGTTAGTTATCTTATAATCCATTAAAGCGTACAAAACAATCGTAGAAAAATGGCAGCAGCTGCATTTGTATGAAACGAGAGAGCGAGTCCACGATACCAGGATGACATAATTAAATAATTGTAAACAATTTTTAATCGAGTTTTAATATTTTATTAGCTAAACAAACGCAAAGCTTCCACCAAGAAAAAAATTGTTCCTGGCGTAGTGTTGTCACGGAACCAAAATTTCAGTATTCGGTACCGATACCAGTGAAAATCCACGGTTCTCGGTACCGCCAGTTGTTATCGAGGGATAACATTACCTAGGAATGTCGCAACTGACCAATCAGAATCAAGTATTCCACAGAGCCGTGTAATAAGTACAAATAAGATTCAGAGAATGTTGATTTCAGAACGTTTTATCTCTGTATTATGAGAAAGTATGTCAAATATTAATGTTATAAGAACGTTAAAGTTATAGTTATAAAGTTATAAGAATGTTACTTTCAGAACCTTTTGTACTAACATTTATATAACTTTTTAAAAAATGTTGGTGAAAGTTGTGAGAACATTCCCTGTTAGCTGGGGACGTGGTTCTGAGCAGGCATAATTTAGTCTGGCTTTGATGCGGCCTTGCGGCTTGACACTGAATTTTGAGCAGGCACAGTGCAGCCTTAACTCTACTTCCATTGAATGGGAATGCTCACGGATAGTTCTCTCCAGGTTTATTATTACAGCTCCTCAGGCTAAGCTAAGATGCTTGGTGGCATCTCATCTCGGGGATCACCGACCAAAACCCAACCTATGCCATCCCAATATATGACCATTGCATGCCACTTTTCGAGGAAATACTCCTTGAGAAATTCCTGGATAACAATTTTGCAAATGGCGCCATTCCACCACTGATGGTGTGTAGACACAAGGTCTGTGTAGAAACAAGGTGTTTGATATGCAGCATCTAGATCAGCATGAGAGACAAGCGATCATATGTTCTGCCTCCAGGAGCAGGAATGGAGCCGAGAGGATGAAGGAGATCCTGAACTGGGCCATCTCTAATGTGCATCCAGGAAAGGCAGGGGTCTGATGGGAGTTGGGCCGTAGGGAGTGTCAATGAAAGAGGCAGATCTGGGAGGTTATCTGGGTGGAATTAGGCCACGCAGGATCTGGGTCCAATGACCATGCACCACAGTGAGTTTTTTTTTTTCTATTTACAGCCACACTGGAGGCAACATCAAGATCAGTAAGTTGCAAATCTTCATATGACTTCCAGAAAGAGCAGCTGCACAGACTTGATAAGTCTGTCTGCATTTCAAGCAGTGGCGTATGGTAGCAGAACTATGGTATTTTCAGCTTTAAGTGTTCGTTGTGTTCATTTTATTTCAAATAAATGTATCTCGAAGGCCTGATGCCACATTCAGTGCCATCACTGAACACTTATATGTGGGCAGTCAAGGCCTAATGGTTAGAGAGTTGGAATTGTAATCTGAAGGTTGCGGGTTCGAGTCTCAGGTCCAGCGGGAATTGCAGGTGGGGGGAGTGTATAACCAGCGCTCTCTTCCACCCTCAATACCACAACTGAAGTGAGACCCTTGAGCAAGGCACTGAACCCCCAACTGCTCCCTGGGTGCCACAGCAATATGGCTGCCCAGTGCTCCGTGTGTGTGTGTGTGTGTGTGTGTGTGTGTGCACTTGGATGGGTTAAATACAGAGCACAAATTCTGAGTATGAGACACCATATTGGCCACTCTTCACTTATACTTTTTTATATTAAACATTAACCGTGTATTTACTGTATCAGGCAGCACAGGACGTCTGTATTTCTGAGAAATCTTATATTGGGTATAATGGTTACACAGGGGCATGATTCATGCAGTCTTTAAATGACATGTAATGCAATCACAGAAAGTTTACAAGGATGTCTTACCTTCACTGGATGATCCAGACAAGTTGATAATGACATAAACCTTTCCCTCTGGCTCCAAGTCTATCTGCAAGGACCATCATACAAAAATTAGTTTTAGCAACAGAGCAAAAGAACATCTTTAATAATCTTGACTGGCCTCTGTACTTAATGCACTTAATGCTATCTTTTAAAAGTCAAGTTAATGCATACATTCTACAGTAAACACCTTCTATGCAAAAGTGACTCTTTTAAACAGTAATATGCATTAAATTCTCTAACAATCATTTGCCAGAAGCTTATTCAAAGCTTACAAATAAGGAAAAACAGGCAATTTATCACAAAGAATACAACAATATTAGCAGTACTAGAATGACACATTTCAAAATAAAGAGCAAAAGTGCAAAAAAAATTAAAATAAGAATAAAAAACGTTTCTGATTTTAAAAAGAAAATGTCTTTTGCTTACACATCTTATAAATTACTAAACTCCTCGTAATTGTAAAGTAATTGATAAAGTTGTATATATGTCAAATTGTACATAAATATGCTTTATTAGTTTATTACTAAATAGATAATTAAGAAAAACATTAGTTTTGGCTAACATGTCGGTGTTTAATATATGATGATAGATAATCTGATTAATGTTACAATATTTCACATGCCCATTGAGCAATGTGGATTTTGCCAAATGCCAGAAAAAATAAAATAAAATAAAAATCATTATAAATAATAATGATAATTGCGACCATTTGTTTGTAAAGTTTTTGTCTAAAAATGTTTTTTCTCTAAAGATTCAGTCATCATTTTACCACCCTCAAGTGAACCTCAAAACCGTTTGACTTTTTCCAGTGGAACATAAGAATATATTATCAAAGAATATATTATCAAAATCTCAAAGCTGCTTTTTTCCACACAACAATAACAAATAAAACTAAAAATGCACAAGCTGTCACATGGTGTCAAATTCTGATATAATTCTGTAATATATATATACTGTATGTGTGTGTGTGTGTGTGTGTGTGTGTGTGTGTATATATATATATATGTATTCAAAGCTATTGTCCCCTAAAAAAAGACATTCATGTGCATACTATATTGATTAAATTTGTGTGTGATTTCCCCCTTCATTAGGTTTGCACACCACCTGTGAAAGCCTTACTTATCTTAATGGAAATAAACAAGCACACATGGTCAAGATTAGCCGAATAAATGCTGAGTATGTGGCACCAGCAGAGGAAACATCACAGTCTCGATGTAAACATGATCCCTGTGAGGCTTGTGCCGAGGCTGAAATGACTGATATTAGGCCCAGTTCTCCTCTCAGCAGCTAATGACAGCATAACGGCTGTTCCATCAAAACCAGATTAAAGCAGGAAATGGAGGGAGGATGTGGGGATGAGTGGAGAGATTTGTACATGCTATGAGAGTAAAGACAGAGAGAGACAGTGAGGATGTGTGTGGGAGTTGGGTTAGAGGCGAGCCGTATCATGCTAGTGCAGTCAACACAGGTTTTACACAGGATGCACCAATGCAAAAAAAAAACAAAAAAAAACACCTGCTTGCAAGCGCACTCACACGCACACGCAAAATTCACGCTCCCAAACCAAAAGTGTCAGTGTCAAGGTTCAGTTGATTGCAATAGCTGATATTCTCACATATTCACTAGAAACCACATACATTTTCAGGGAAAGCAGATTTTATGAGACAAAACTGTTCGTTTGTGAGTAGAATACATGAACATTATTATTCAAAAGTTTGGGGTGTTAACTTTTTTAAATGTATTTGAAAGAAGTCCCTTATTCTCATCAAGGCTGCCTTTATTTGAGCAAAATACAGTAAAAACAGTAATATTGTGAAATTCTATAAAAGTGTAAATTGTTTTAAGAATTTAAAATAAGTACAATTTATTTCTGTGATGTCAAAGCTGAATTTTCAGCATCATTACTCCAGTCTTCAGTGTCACATGATCCTTCAGAAATCATTCTAATATGCTGATTTGCAATGTTGAAACCAGTTGTGCTGCTTCATATTTTTGTGAAAACCATTTTTTTCCAAGGATTCTTTGATGAATAAAAAGTTCAAAGGAGCAGTATTTATTTGAAATAGAAATCTTTTGTAACATTATACAACATTATACTGTCATTTTTGACAAATCTAATGCATCCTTGCCGAATAAAAAGTATTAATTTCTTATTTGGCCACAGACTTTCTTAAAGACAATAAAGTGCCTATAAACCAGTTTAGCACCTTCTCCTTGAGTGAAAGTCACTCAAAAACATTTTGAAAAACTCTTTTAATTTAATATAAAGAATAAGAATAAAATATTTGAGTGAAGAATGTGTGACTAAATATTGCTTTTAATGACTTCACTACTGTATTAATGCATATAAATGATCCGCTGTAGATATTTACTTGACCTCTCAGGGTCAACTGTCTGTCAATTCTAAGAACGTTAATTTCCTGG